TCGGGGGGGGGGGGTGATTTCTTGCTTTCTGTCTGTCTTTCTCTGTCTTTCTAGTGAGCACATATACCTATAGCAAAAATCTCTCTAAAAAGAAAAATCATTTATTTATTTTTATTTACTATTATTATTATTCTTTTGAAATTTGCCACAGGACGTGTGCACTCACCATAGAGAAACAGAGAGAAAGAGTGAGAAAGCAAGGCCCAGGATTTGAACCATGGTCACTTACGTGGGAGTTCAGCACCTTAACCACCACGTCAGCTGCTGGCCCTAAGATCAGCTTTTTAAATAAAACAATGATAGAATTTTGGATCCAATAATGTTTCCTTTTTACTTCCTTAAAAATGATGCCCTTCATAATTCTGTGACAGCCCACGAACCCAGGGCAGCTCCACACACACGCACAAACCCTGCAGATTTGGAAGGCTTTCTTTTCTTCTGACATTTTCAGTGCTAGGATTAGGACATCACTCACCAAATAAGACAGAGGAGCATCTCCCCACACGGATGTATGCCCTTGAATTCCTAAGCCAGTCTCATTTACAGAAAGTCAAGCACCCGTGGCATAACTTGTGATCGATCCAAAACGACATTAACTTTACTTTGTTGAAACATGTTCTCTTTAAAATCTAAAAGTATTATGAAACTCAGTCTCTAGAGACTCATCATGCTACCTTACTAATTCTGATTTTTATGGACAATGCAAATAGCAGACAAGATACCAGTAGCAAGCCAGAAATAAATTAATGTACGAGAACCATTGAATGGAACTCAATTTTCTTTTCTTGTTTGGTGTTCTTTTTTTAACAAAGAATTCTCAAGAAATATTTTATTCTTAGGTGTACTTTATTCTTTTCTGAGATTATTGCTAGTAAATATCTCAGAGACAATCAGGATAATCCAATACTAAGCTACAGACCTAGGAGAAAACTAACAGCAAACCTCAGGGGGGGCGGCTTATGCCTCTCCCATGGCTGAGCAGGAGAGCCCTAGAAAGGACTTTGTGATTGGTGGCCTGTTCTAGATTGAGTTATTGGCCTTAATTCTCTACCCTTACTACACCAAGCCTGTCTTGATTTAAATTTTCAGTATCTTGCGGCCTGGCAGGAGGCATGGTGGCTGAGGGCACTGGACTCCCACATGGCCGACCACAATTCGAGTCTCAGACCTGGCAACTCACTTTCTCTTTCTCTCCCACTCTCGTTCTGTTCCTATCTGGTCAAAATTAAAATAAATAAATAAAGTCAAATAAAATTATTCTTTAAATAATTCTCGGTATTTTGCCCCTTAAGAATGTTTTCTCATTAGTTTTAATTTTTTTTTTTTTTTGGAGAGGTTTCTGCTAAGGATGCGTGTGCTTGCCAGAGAGACAGAGAGAAACACAGAGACAGAAAGCGAGAAATTATCCCCCACTGGGTAAAAGGTAGACATCTTGATCAAACAATGCCTGAAGTCCAACTGATCCGAATTTTCACTCACATGATTCAGTACACAGCTTTATTGTTTGAGTCAGTTTGAGTTAGGCTTCTGTTTCTTGCAGCTGAAAGCATTCTCACTAGCTATTCAGACCATATGACTATTTCTGAACTTCACTTTAGGGCCATCTAATCACATTATTCTAGGGTTAATAGGTGAGTCTCTGAATGATCCAAAATAGAGTCGAGGTATAAAGCTTATGTTCGTTATTGAAAGTTCCATGCTTCTTCCCCCAGGCCTTCCCCTAGAAGAGCTTCACGTGGCTTCCTACCTCCATTATACCAATAGATGGTATCTCTTCCTCCCTTCATGTGGACATAATTATATGAATAATTTTTCACATCACCCATGATATTTCTACTTTAAAATGAACAAGAGAGAAAACCAATAGAATCAATCATGGTATTTTCATACAATGGAACATTATACATACCTTAAAGACAATGTATCAATTCAGCAAATATTTACTCAACCTCTACTCTGTTCTAGAAACTGAGTCATCGATACTTGATAATGGGAGAATATTAAATATCTACTATACAAGAATAAAGTTATAAAACATAATTACCATATCTGATTTGGATAATACTTAGATGAGGCTCTGGACTTTAGACTTGAAAGTTGATGCTGGAATGAGTCCAGACTTTTGAAGCTGTTGGGATGGATGAGCATATCTTACATGCAAGAAGGGCATGAATTTTAGGAGTTGATGGAGTCCAAAATGTTATGGACTGAATGTGTGTCCCCATCACATTCATATGTTGACGTCCCAGCCCCAATCTGATAGTGTTTAGAGGTAGAACCTTTGGGAGGTAATTAAGGACAGATGGAGTTGTGAGTGGAGGGAAGGCATGGTGGGATTAGTGCCCTGTGAGAAAAGAAAGAGACACTATAGCTTTCTCTCTCCATAGCAAGGGAACAGATGCTGGTGCAGTGATAGAAGGGGATGCCCTGCAAGGCTAGCCCACAGGAGAAGGTTCTGGGTTCTTGTGCAGAAACCTCCCTGAGCATACCAGGTCCTTCTGTGTCCATGACCTAGGGCTGGCTGAAGTAGAGGATGGATCACAGTGTTGAAACTCTATGGCAGTGGGAGAGGAGCAGGTGGCATGATGGTTAAGGTGCTGGATTCCCAGGTGGCCTACGGTAGTTCATGTCCCAGACCCAGTGGCTTGAAAATCACACTGGGTGCATGTGTGTGCATGCCCAAAATTCTGAGAGGAGGATAGAGGAAAGGGGGTTGTGGCACGGCGGGATGCCTGGGAGGTGATTTATCACTTTCCCTTTCTCTCTCTGTCTCTCACCATCTCTCTCTGGCAAGTGCACATGTCCTGTGACAAAAACTAAAGCAAAACCAAAACCCTATTGGGGGGTGCAGTCTTTCCGTCTCTCTGTCTCTGTGTGCTCAATTGCTTGCTCACAGAAGAAAGAAAGAAACTTAAAAAAAAAAAAAAAAAAAAAAAAAAAAAAAAAAAAAGCAAAAATGTCAGGAAGAGACTCTCATCAGGAACTGAGTCTGTCTGTACCTTGAATTCAGAATTTCCAGTCTTAAGAACTGTGAGAATGCATGTCTGCTGTTCAGGGGGAAAAAATAATTGCAGTATAATTTTTTTTTTTTTTAGAGTTCTTTCTTTTTTTTTTCTTTTTTTTTTTTTTTTTTTTTTTTTTTTTTTTTAATGTGAAATTGTTTTTGCCGCAGAAGAAATGGTACATGTGTTTGCCAGAGAGACAGAAAGCAAGAAAGCAACCCCTGGGGTGGGGGGTGGGGTGACCATGCTGCAATCTCTTCTCCATTCTCTTCTAGGGATTTTAGGCACACACGCATATGTATCCATTGTGAGTTTCAAGCCGCTGGGTCCAGGATCTCAACCACAGTTGGCCATGTGCAAGTTCAGTGCCTTAACCACTATGCCATCTGCTGGCCCTAATTACAGTGTAATCTTCAATAAGCGAATGTATATATTAGGTTATCAGTAAAGTCATGGCATATTTTTCTATGCAAAATGTGTTACAGCTTTCCCAGTGACCCAATACATATACACACATATCTACAAAGTAAACAGGACTAAAAATACTTACAAGGGTTGGCTCAGAATGGTAGAGTAATATGCCATTTGCTTCTTCTTTGTGGTTTTCCATATTTGTCACATGTTTCTATGATTAACTTCTATCACTTCCGTAAACAAGAAAAACCTCCAAGGAAGAAAATTATGCTTTGAAAATTCTAATAAAACTTGAAGTTGTTTTTGATCTACATTCATTACATGTTATAATTATATAATTTATTTCCTCTTTCAATAGGCCTTGTTTAGTATCTATTTATACAAAATGGTTGAGTGTATGAACTAGAGTCAGAAAGAATAAAAGAAACGCATATTTTTAAGTAATCAAAAAGTCACATTTACATTTACAATGACCTCCTTTTTAATGTCAGATTTGAAATTTAGAAAGGGGAAGAAGAACGAGACAGGCACCGAGACCCTATTTATTACAAAGCCACCTCAAAAGCCGGGGTACACGTCCAAGAGGGGCAGGAGAAGGAGAAAGAAAGAGGTGTCATGAGACCCAGTTCCCTATAGCCTATGTGGCTGCAACTAACTCCTTCCACCCCAGCTAGACGGGAACAGCTGACTGCTCTTTAATGCTGACCCGCTAGCGTGGAGGGAAACCCCCAGTACACCAAGACACCTCCAGACACATATAGGTTACTCTTGAAAAAAATAAAGTTTTAATAAGAAGAAAAAAATGGAAAAGATGAGATATTTGTATCGTTTTCATCTAAAAATATAATATAATAACTTCATCTCAAATGATAACACAGTGATTCTGGGCTGGTTTCATGGCCTAGTGGTTAAGACAGATGAACCCCATATGGACAACTGTGTGGTCTGAGTCCCAGATCCAGTGACTTGAGAAACAGGCTGAAAACATGTGCGCATGTGCCCAAATCCAGAAAGGAGGGAGAGAGAGGAGAGGGGATTGTGGCGTGACCATTCCTTGTGATGGGTGCTTTCTTCTCTCCCTCTCTCTCTGTCTCTGTCTTTCTCTGATGAGTACATATGCCCTCTGGCAAGATAAAATAGTACACTCATTCTATCATACTTCCGAAACAAATTGAGACTACAAATCTCTACTAGCATTTAGAATTCAGCATTTATTTTTGCATAGAAAAATACTTCGTGACTTTTCTGATGACCCAATGTATTCAAAACCTGTGTTATACTATTATTATAAACTGTGTTATTTTCTTCCTACTCTTTGATAAAACGCACATACATTATTGCATTTGATTCTCAAGACTTCTTTACGTGGTACTTAAGAAAAATACTCTTCTCTCCATTATTTTTCAAGTTTATTTATTTCCTGTATGAGAGAGAAACAGACAGACAGACAGAAACCCAGTCAGGTCATACATTGAAACCCCCCCTCAAGTCTCAGCCAACCCCAATCATGGGTACATACATGGAAGTCTGGAACACACAAGGAGGTCCTAGGACTTGAACCCAGGACCTTCCCATAGCAGTCCAGTTGTAGTACCACTGCATTACTGCCTGGCCCTTTTACTCTTTATATGAAAAAGATGAGAACTATAGAGATAGAGCTAGGACTTAAGCCCAGGTCTTGCACAGTCAGAAGACTTTTTCATTAAGCAACTCCTTATATTAGGCTGATGGGATATAGAAAACATCTCACTTACCTCCTTTTTAATATGTTTATTAGAAAAATTGATTACACAGGATAAAATTTTCCACACATGGAAAAACACTCCATACAGTTCAGCATCCAGTGCATGTTCCAAAAATATAAGATGATTGACATGCACTTGATCTTAATAAAGAACAGACTTCTTTAGAAAATTATAGCCTTTATATTAGATTTTTTTTCATTACTCTTTCCTTTACTTGAAACTCGCCTACATGCTGCTGAAGAATTGCATCCCAGGAGATAAAAAAAAAGTCTCAAATATCAGAGAACTTGAGGTCAAAAATTTTTAAAGGTAGCAATTTCTATCTCTCTCTTTTTAATCAAGTCAGAATAAGTTAATCTGGCCATAGATTAAAAGAAAACCAGTCTGATCTGAAATATTTTACATGTAAAATGAAAAAGAGTAAAGCTGGAAACCACACGACCATCTAAAATTTTCTGTGCTAAGAAAATTGCTATAGTCAGAGTGGTTGGCTGCGCAGAACCAAGGAGGGCTGGGTTTGAGGAAGAACGAATCCTCTGCTCAACAGGCCCCGTGTGTGGCTGTGAGGTTTACGTCCATATGACAACCAGCAAGCTCGTCCACGGAGAGTGAAAAGATCAGTTCATCATTCGGGTCGTTTCAAAGACTCGGGGTATTTGGATTTAGGAGGGCCCATTGTCCTGACTGTTCTGTGATTTTTTTTCATGTTTTCACCTGGTGAAGCCCTCCTTTCTGGAAACCTTTCTAGGTCATTGTGTGAATTTTTTCATATTTTCACCTGATAAAGTCCTTTCTGGAAATCTGGGAACATGGTATTCTGCACCTGTCTGTGTACATAATCATTACAAATTTTGTCTGACAGATGGGGAATAAAACTCCTGCAGACTAGGATCCATGTTTCATTAAAATGACTCTTACTGTGGTACTGGTATAATGGTAATGCCACTGAATCCACATGGGAAAGGTCCCGGGTTCAAGTCCAGGGTCTTCCCTGAGCATACTGGGTACATGTGCAAGTTCCCATGATCCAGGGCTGAGATGAGGTGGATCATGGGATGACAACCCTATTGGGGATCCCCGTCTTTCTCTCTCTCTTTCTCTCTCTTTCTTTCTCTCTCGGAAGAAATAAATAAACAACAAGGGACCAGCAGTTAGCATAGTGCCTATGCTGCTGGACTCCCATGTAGTCGACCACAGTTCGTGTCCCGGACACAATGGCTTAAAACTCACACTGGGTGCGTGTGCGTGCATGCCCAAGATCCCGAGAGGAGAATGGAGGAGAAGGGATTGTGGTGTGGCCATCCCCACCCCCGAGGGGGGGGGTGATTTCTCGCTTTCTGTCTCTGTCTCTCTCTGTCTGTCTGGCAAGCGCATGCGCCCTATGGCAAAAAAAAAAAAAAAAAACTCTCCAAAAAAAAAGGAAAAAAGAAGAAAAAAAGAAACAACAAAAGAAAATGATTCCACTCTTTCAAAAAAATACATACACGCCCAGTGCACGGTTTGCAGCTGATTTGATCAGAGTCAGACCCTCAAGGAGCTTTCAGGCTGGCCCGGCCAGCATAGCCTATTAACCCAGTAACCTCAGGATCTTGTCAATAATTCTAATAACACTTACGTCAATACTAATGTCCATAATCATAGTGCTTGTCAATAACGCAGATCCTTGGGATTCACCCAAGCCCTTATTCATTAGAATCTCTGGGCACAGAGGCTTGGAGTCTGCATTTTAACAAGCTCCTGTGATGATTGCCCTGAAGTCTGAGCAGTACTGACTCCATAGCTATGAGTCAGAGCAAGACCAGCACACGCAGGAGCATGATGATGCGATTCTAAGAAAGGAGCTTTGGCCCTGCGGGGTGCAAACAAGAGGAATGATGGCAGGTGAGTGGCTATGCAGGGAAACCGTGGGACAGCAAGGGCTTCCAACGCTGTGAGTAACAGAAAAGCCACCTTTCGCCCATATGAGAGAAAGTACGACTACCAGTGCGGCCCACACTGCCACAGCAACTGGGAGGTCTAGCTGGTACCGGGAGAACTGCCACAGCTGTACTGCTAGCCAGGCCAGCTGGTCTGACCATCCTAGGATTTACCCCTTCCCAACTATAGAGTCTGAGGACCCCACAGGTGCAGTAATACCCCACAGTGGTGCCACGCACATGAGCCGAAGGCCGGTGAGCCCCTACCCCAGTGGTGTGCTGGCTAATGTGTAACAGTGGGCTCTCCGGGAAGATGAAGCCCCAACCCCAACTTGTTGCATCTGCCAAGTTCCATGGTGTCAATATTCGCATCACGGCTGGTTTCAGGCCATCACACGTGATGTCACTGAGGACAGGCTTAGGAAACAGGCGCACGAAGGCTCTCACAAGCCATGGCAAGCCAGCTCCAGCACACGACTGCTTGCACACACACACTCACCCATTTCTCACATAAAACAAGGGAACAAGTGCAAGAAAAATGGAATTAAAGTATAAGTTTATATTGATAAGAATAAAAAAAAATTTAATTCTCTATAGGGCATGTGCACTCACCAGAGAGAGACAGAAAAAGGGAACGTGAGCAAGGACTCCCAAAAGGATGGCCATGCCACAATCCTTTCTCCTCCATTCTCCTCTCAGGATTCAAGGCACATGCCCACACGAGCTTGGTGTGATTTTCAAGTCTTTCAGTCCAGGACTTGCACTACAGAGTCAGCCACGTGGGGTCCAGCTACCTCAACAACCACATCACCGACTGGCCAGCCTGGGTTATTCATAATACATATTTCCCATGACTTGTTTAAGGACCACCACATATACTCATTCGTTTTGTATGATTGTGCCCTTCTCACATGCCTATACCTAAGGGAAGGAAAGGGTTTCTCCTGTCCTGTAATTGAAACATGGACTATCCCTTGCTCTTCATGCATTTGTTCAGAAGGTGTACGTTTTATATAAAAGGTCATTTCTTCCTTCACAATAAAAAGTATCGTATTCAGAAAATGGCAGTTACAGTTAGCCTCTCTTCTAAGTCTAATAAAAAAAATTACTACATACCTGTGCGATGCATAGGCAGACAACTCCAGTCCCCAACACATGCGAATACATTATACCATATGGGAAAGAGCATTAAGGTTGCAGATGAAGGTAAGGCTGCAAATCCTCTAACTTTATTATTATTTTTTAATTGCCAGAAGGTGCATATGCTTGCCAGAGAGAGAGAGAAAAGGAGAGAAAGCACTCCCAGTGCGATGTGGTCATGCCACAATCCCTTCTCCATGTCTCTGTCCTGTCAGGATTTGGACACACACATACACGCACCTGCTATGTTCCTGAAGCTGCTAGGGCCAGGATTCAAACCAAAGCTGACTATGTATGTGGCTCCCTTAACCTCCAAGCCATGGGTCTAGCCCGAATCCTCTGACGCTGAAGTAGATTATCCTGGATCATCTGGGTGAGCCTGATGTTGTCATAAAGGTCCTTAAATGGAGAAGAAAGCATAAGTTTCAGTGTCAGAGAAGGAAGCATGAGTAACTCTGTCACCCACCACCTGCCTCAAAGGTGGAGGAAGGGGCACAAGCCCGTGTGAGCAGCTCCAGCAGCTGACGAGGACAGAAAGTGCTCTCTCTGAGAGCCTCCGGAGAGGCACACAGCACAGCTGGCACCTTGGCGGAAGCCTGCTGAGCCCCATGCTGCCTTCTGACTTCCAGGACTGCACAATAACAGACGTGTGCTGTTTGAAGCCACTTGGTTTGTGGTGCTCTTCTAGAGCAGCAATCGGAAACTAATATAGTCTGTTTTTCAGAAAAGTGGCAAAACACACCCAAAAAAGGTTTAACTAGAAAGCCCTGACCGTATTTGATCAGAGTGCAAACAGGAAAAGCATACTCACATGTGCACGTGCAGACACACATACAGACGTGCAGATGCACACAGAGACAACAGGCAGAGCTCCTGCTAAGCCTAGGATGCAGTTCAACTCCCCAAGGACATTAGATGTTAGGGGCTCATGCCCACCACTTTTCTCTCTTCCTCAGAGCACTTTCTTTCCACAGTACCACATTTGGATGCTTTAAAACAAGATCGTTGACCAGCAGGTGGTGTAGTGGTTGAGCCTCTTGACTCCCACAAGGCCGACCGTGGTTCAAATCCTGGACCTGGCAGCTCGCTTCTCTCTCTTTTTTTCTCTCTCTCTCTCTTTCTCTCTCTCTCTCTCTCTCTCTGGTTGGTGTACAAACCCTATGGTAAATTAAAATTAAAAATAAATAATCATAATAAATATGGGACTAGCAGATGGTATAAGGGTTATGTCACTGGAGTCACATGTAGTTGACTGCAGTTTGAGTCCCAAACCCAGTGGCTTAAAACTCATGCCAGGCACATGTGTATGTGTGCCCAAGATTCCAATAGGAGAATGGAAGAGAAGGTATTGCAGAACGGGCATTCCCCCCGGGGGGGGATTTTTCACTTTCTAACTCTCTGTCTCTCTGGCAAGCACATATGTCCAATAGCAAAAATCTCTCTATGAAAAGAAAAAAAAAAAAAAAAAGAAAAGAAAAGAGAAAAAAAATAATAAATAAGATTAAATTAATAATTCTTTAAAAAAAAAAAAAAACCCTTAACCTCAAATAAACATCTACACCAACAGTCGGAACTAGAGCTCAGCCCTACCCAACCTGAGTAAAGAGCAGACATTCAGAAATCTCCAGAAGATGGGATCATGCTGTGGCACAGCAGTAACATAACTGGGCCTACATGGGACAGCTCCTGAGTTCACACTCGGGACCTCCCTGAGCACACACGCATTGTTCCCCTGATCCAGGCTGGCTGAGCCGAGGGTATGTCACAGCAGAGACCCTGTTGGGGGTTATCTCTCACATTCTCTTTCTCTCTCATTGAAGAAATAAATAAACTTAAAAAAAAAAAAAAGAAGAAGAAAATATCCAGAAGAATCAAAGTGCCTGTCTTACAGATGCTTATTCATAAAAGGGTGGGAGAGCCTTGAGGTATAAAATACACTCTCCTGAAGCCTGTAATTTGCTGCTTTTAAAGTTTCTCTGCGGTGCTAAGAGGCCTATTAGTCAAACTTCTACATTTTTATAGACAAAGAATAAGCGAGATGAAGGGAGTGGCCTGGTCATCCTTCAGCTCAATGACATCAGAACCAAGACCCAGCCTGCCCCATCCTTGCGTCCCTTGGTTCTTTTTTTTTTTTTTTTTTTTTGGAGAGATTTTCACTGTAGGGCGCGTGCGCTCGCCAGACAGACAGAGAGAGACAGAGAGACAGAAAGCGAGAAATCATCCCCCGGGGGGATGGTCACGCCGCAGTCCCTTCTCCTCCATTCTCCTCTCGGGATCTTGGGCACGCACGCACACGCGCCCAGCGTGAGTTTTAAGCCACTGGGTCCGGGACACGAACCACAGTCGACTACGTGGGAGTCCAGCGACATAGCCATTACGCTAACTGCTGGTTCCCGCGTCCCTTGGTTCTTCACGACAGCCCATGGCTTGATTAAAGAGGAAAGAGGTAAGACTCCAACTAAATCTGAAAATCAAAAAACCAACACTGGCTGTTTTGCAAAGTGTAAATTACATAAGACAAGAAGGGACTCCCAGCCCCTTTCCCCCTTGTCTTCACTCCCTTACCCACCCTCTTTCTCCACCTTCCCCAAGATAATGGACAAGTGCAAGCATTAACCAAGCCACATTGGTTCTTAGGAGGGATCATTGGATTTTAAAATATCAGACAAGGTTACCCTCTGTTATGTTTTCATTTCCACATGAAGGGACCCACCTTTTTAGGACAGGCCTCAGCATCTCTCTCCTTTGACCAAGCAGTCCAACCTTGGTACCACATAGCTGGTCAGGTGTTGATCAAATCTATGATTTTGGTTTGGGATGGAGGAGAGGGGTTGAGATAGGGTTGGGTACACCTGCTACATGTTCCAGCTCAGACTTCTCAGAGCTCGGCTTTGAGTGGGGTTTGGGGTAGAACGTCTTGCCGGGCACTCGATCAGCTAATAATAAAGTCAAGCTGACTTGCATTTGCTATTGCTCCTTGTGCATATAGCTCCCTACCCTTTCAGAAAGAGAGGTGTTACATAAAACCGTGTGTGTGTGTGTGTGTGTGTGTGTGTGTGTGTGTGTGTTTTGCTACAGAGCACGTGCATATGCCCTCCAGAGAGACAAAGAGAAAGTGGGAAATCACCCCCTCCCCCCAGAGAGGATGACCATGCCATAATCCCTTCTTCATTCTCCTCTCCTTTTTGGGCATGCATGCACATGCACCCAGTGTTTGAAGTCACCAGGTCTGGAACTCAAACCGCAGTCAGCCATGTGGGAGTCCAATGCCTTAACTGCTGTGCCACCTGCTGACCCCACAGAAAGTCATCTTTAGGAAGACCATGAAAAAAGAAAGAATGAACTATCACTTGCACACATCAGGGACAAATCATCTTACAAACATTACACTGGCTAGACACGAAAGAGCATATGTGAGGGGGTTCTATGTGCAGTATGTGAAGATAAAGAACAGGCCAAAGTAATCTATAGTGATAGACATCAGAAGAGTGGTTACCTGGGCAGTGGGGTGGGATTGACCAAGAAGAGGCACAAGGGAGCCTTCCAGAGTGCTAAGAAGGTGCTCGGTCTTGATGTAAGCAGTAGTTACACAGGTGTCTACATACGCAAAGACATTCGCTGACCTGTGGTTAGGAGGTAGGAACTTTAGGTATATTACTCCTCATTTAGAACAAAACCTTTGATTCCCACATGAAATGCGTAATTTCCAAAGAGTTCCATATATGAGAAGGTATTCCTATTATTAGAGCTTTGAAATACTTAAAATTCCAAATGTAGACACTATATTTACTCTTGATTAGGTTAAAAAGTATTTCATTTAAGCCATGTTTAATAACAGTTCTGAACTTCAATGTTCTTCCTGATTAGAAAGATCAGTGGCTAGCCCCTATACCATACACTTTCTCAAAAAGAGACCTTTCATAGCTTAAGAAGAGGCAAGGCAAGACTAGACATTTTCAAAGAGTTGCCACATTTTGGTCCTTCCACACTTTTATCTGCAGAAATTGAAAATCTTTGCCAGCACTTGAAATTGTTCAGTGTCCTCTTTGCTGCTTAAATTTTAATTTTACATTTCTTCTACATAAAAGAAAATGAAATGGCATAGAAAAGTAGTTTCAGAGACTTCACTGTGGTATACGAAGCTTTTTTATTATTATTATCTTATCAAAGAGTTGAAAGAAGATGCTATAAAATATGTGTTTACTGGTGTTGGAACAGATGAAAGCACAGTATTTTCATTTTTAAAGATGACAGGGGCTATTTTAAAAAGCATGTGTTTTTCATCGCATACTTTACTTTATACCAATGATTCTAAGGTTTCTATTAAACAGAAAAACAAATTACAAGTCTGGCAACCACAAAGATGGGGGGCGGGGGACGCCAAGCCTCCATAAGCGAAAAGAATTTTAACCAATAGTGAAGTGATGACAAAATACCACGGCATATTGACAGCATTGTTAAAGCTCCAAATTAGATTTAATGATAGCTAAATGATGTCTGGGGGTACAAGCACCGTGGATGTCTGACGGTTGACGAGAAAAGGAAAATGAGAAATGAGGGCTCATGTCTCTTCCAGAGAACAAGTTAAACTGATCCAGCCGAGACAGTAGCTTCCAGGGTAAAACAACTTGTATTCTAATCAACTACATGAATCAAGCCGGACCCTCCCTTATATGCACAATCCGGACTACTCCGTCAGTCCATGGGGAATAAATTGCACACCTTGGCAGTAGCCCTGGATTTGAATTCCAAAGACCCCAGTTTAGGTCAGGATTCTTGCCTCTAAGCAAGTGGGACTTAGCTTTTCAGAAATCATTTATATGTGGTACTGACTATCAGCCAAAGCTCAGCAAAACCCCAGTTCATTAAAGACATAACATAGTTCCCAGGAAATCATGAGCCAAAGGAACTAGGACTGGTGGAACTGTGTGGATGTTTTGGGTACCTGAACTTTTAATAGAGAAGTTTCACATGTACATAGGCAAAGATGATGAAGTTCTAAATGAGGGCCACACTCAGATGCCAAGTGCTATGTTCTGAAGGCCCCCTATAAACTCGTGTAGGAAATGGGATGAAGAGGGTGAAAGCTGAATCTGATTATGCGGTTGAAAGGTGGGACCTTTAGGGAGCGATCAGGCATCAGGGCAGGGCCCTATCATGGAGCCCTCCTGGAGGAGAAATAACACCCAAATAGAGAGAATCATGGGCCCAGGCATCCTGTTTTGCTCTTGCCTTCTGATGTGATGCCTCGGATTTCACAAGGCCCCCACACTCTGGACTTTGGGCCTCCAGATCAGGAACTAAATAAACCTCTACTTTTATAAATTACCCAGACTCAGGAATTTTCTGTTATTAGCTGCAGAACAGACTCGAACATTAAGCATCAAAGTTGGCAATGATAAGATCTGCTTCTTTACCTAAAACTCCCAAATGCTGGTGGTGTTCTCTGGTAAAATAAATTCTGGAGCTGATGGAGGTGGCCCTGAGAGGACTATGCCCCTTAGCTAAATAAACATCCTTGCCATTTAGGAAAAGCAGAATGACATCCAGGAGCAGCAAATCCACATCTTTCTCTGCCATCTTCAGTATCAGCCAGGAGCTGCCACCATGAGCTTATCCCATACATAAAAATTAAAT